TTTTTTACTAGTAATTATAATAGCAACCATTTAATGTCTAGAACTTAAAATTTCCTATCCCACTGACTTCTCAGAAAGGGCTTGGTATATACATATAATTACATATACTTCATGTATAAGGAAATAGTGGCTCAGAGAGGTTAATAAATTTGCCCAATGTCACACAGCACAGTCAGTCCTGGAATCAAACCCACGTTACTTAGACTCCAAAGCCTGGCATCTGCAGGTGTGCTTTCTCCCCTATACCATTATCATGTGTAGCTTCCCAATAGATTTGGACCATAGTTCTCCAGCTACCTATCATGGTACTTAGTATAGTACCCGGGAAATACCAGACAATAAACAGTGCATGAACAAAGGAATGAATCATCAAGCTTGCAGAAAAGATGAAAAGAAATGACGTGAGGATTGTGAAAACATTCTGTACACTTTGCAGCACTACACAAATACCAGTTATCATAAGTATCTTGGTAGGATGCCCAACCAAGGCAGCCGCTCTACTGAAGATGAGGCTGATTGGCCCAGGGCTGTAAAACATGTTCGAGCTCTAACGCCGCCTGTGAAAATACTATTTCTGTGTCGCTAGCGCCCTCTTGTGTCTCCATGCTGTAATATCATCGTAGGACTTGGGCATTTTATACGAAATTACCAAAACAATTTATAATTGCCACTTTCACTCTTCATTCCTTCTTCAAGGCTGTGCCAAAAATGTCTGAGGGCTGAGTCATCCCTACGGCTAGGTCATCTCAGGTATATGAAAATCTACTTTTCTCTGTCAGTGGTTCGACATGGTGCATAATTTCCAGGCTAGAAGCGGAACTCAGCAGAGCATGTCGGGTTGGGTAGGGTAGTTGAGGCACAGGCTGCAAAGACGTGCCAACGCCACGCTTATGCAGTTTCCAGGGTTCGAGTCTCACCGCTTCCCACCTTCCTCTTGGAATGCCATCGGCCTCCTGCAGCCCCTCGGCATCTCCCGCACGGACGTGGAGGGCATCGAGCATCGCTCTTCCTCCGTTTCAGTCGGGGGCAGAGCTGGCCCTTTGAAAGCACCCTTCCTCGTCGAGTGGGAGGGCGCACGCTTTCCAGGCCACTGACCTCCGTGGGGAGCAATCACCAAGCTCCCCTAGGGAGGCTAGAGAGGGACTGGGTCTGGGTCCACGCTGGATCGCTTCGAGACCCTGCATTATCACAAGCAACCCCTCGAGATGAAGCCACCTAACAGGCTGAGCCCTGTCGGACACGGGGGTGGCTGGATGGGGACTCCGAGGTGGTAAGTGACAGCCCCTTGCACTCACCGCGGCAGTTTTTGGCGGTCACGGCGTCCCCGTAGAAGCCGTCCGCGCACCTTTCGCAGTGGGCGCCGTCCGTGTTCCCCGCGCACTTCAGGCACTGCCCGGTGGCTGCGTCGCAGTGACCGGCCGCCAGGGGGTCCACGTTGCCGCTGCAGTCACACGGCACACAGGATTCCCCGGGCACTGTCGGGTTTCCATAGTAACCGTCTGCGCATCTGCATCAAAGGTTGAAGGCGAGATCAAACCAAGGCCATTACTCAAGACCCTACCCCACTCTCCAGGGACCCCCGAAGGGCGAATAAATCAGACGGGCTCTTCTCCCCGAGACGTGCTGTGGAAGGGATCCAACTCCACGCCCGAGTATTCACGGACGTCCTTCACCCGTCCTGGCAAACGGGGAGAGCGTCCGAAACGAGGCCCAAACCCGTGGACGTGCGCCCGTGTCCGCGACCACCTGGACCCACCCCGACACTCGGTAGGCCACGCGGCTCTCCCGTGGGCTTGGCCAGAGCTGGCTCTGACGTCCACGCCGGGAAAGACAACAGTGGCTTCCAGCTGTCTTCCAGGAAGACGGCTGCTAAATCAAACCACCTGCCACCTGCGAGTTGCCCAGAGCAACGGATCCAACGTGTGAACCACAAATTCTGACTCCTTGCTGCTCCCTATTGTTATTGATGAGAACTCAGATTAGCTCCAGGAGAGGCATCATTCTTTAAAAATGGCCAGCAAGTTCTAACATTCATATTTTAACCAATATATCCATTTTTCTCTATGATTCTATGAAATAATAATTATGCCTCAAAACTCCAAAACCACACTTAACTACGCATTTAAAAATAAGCACATAGAATTTATATTTAATTTTTTAAAAATGTTAATGCAGCTTTCTGAAACCAGCAGAGCAACACAGAGTACCTCTCGCACCAAGCCCCCGAATGCCCCACAGCACACTGGTCGCAGACCACTTCCTCTCCTCCATCCAGGTGGCAGGTGGGGCTGAAACTGACAAAACAGAAATAAATGCAATTTTCCAATGGATGGTGCAGAATTTCTAAATATTTTAAATGCTTAATTTCTACCATTTCTGTGCTTACGAACTTTCAACGAGTCCTCGCTCCTTAGCTGGGAGCCCAGGGCTTCGGACCACCCAGCACCCCGCCCCCCACCTCCCCCCCTACCTCCGCCCCCCCGAGCCTCAACTGTCTTTCACCCATGTTCCTGAGCACTGGACACTCACTGCTCGCTGCTCCTCTGTCCCTCGGCCCGAAATGCCCTTGCTTCCCCCTCTCTGCCTGGGTTAACCCAGCTCAGCCCAATGCCCGAGTCAGCTGCCACTTCCCCAGGAGGCCTGCTCGGACGCCCCTGGGAAGCGGGTTCCTCTCCTCGAGTTCCCTGGCACTGTCTTCCAGCCTCAGAGCCTTTCCCACGCCAGAGCAAGAGTGAGCTCTCTAAACAGCACGGTCAGGGGTCAGGAGGCTCCTGTGGCCCCCAAGGACCCCCACTGCTGACTGAGGTCCCTTCAAACCCTGTTCCTGTGTCTTGGGGAAGCCTGCCCGGGGTGACGGTACCCCTGATTGTATCACAGGTCACCAGGATTGCATCCTTTTTATCCTGGAGTTTCAGATAAAAATTCCCTGTGGGGACTTCTTTGGGAGTGGGTGGAGAAAGAGTTCTGATGGTTAAACCAGTGAGAGAGAAACCAGGACACACACACCCTAGCATGACATTCAAGGCCTTGCCCAGTGGGCCTCCCTCCACGCCCCCCAGGCCTTCTGCTCCAGGGCCAGCTGCAGTTCCTCCAACAGAATGTGCCCATTCCCACTGCCGCCTCGGCGCACCCAGCTCCTCCCGGCTGCAATGCCCATCTACGCCTCAGTGGAATTCCTCCTCCTCCTCCAAGTCTGAGAGAAGGGCTTCCTCAGGTCAGTCCTGCACCCATCCAGGTATGTTGGATACTGCCCCCGCTCCGCCCCACCGTCTTGGGGACGACTCTCCACTAAAGTCATGACCACCTATGAGTCCCCTGGGGCCAGCAGCCAGGTGTGATGCTCAGCGTACCTGCTGTGACACCCTATACACAGTTAGGCACTCAATAAATATTTGTTGAATCAATGAGTGAACTCAGACCATTCCCACGTAGCCTCGTATTTACATATTTTGGTCATTAGATCAAAAACTCCCTAAGCCCAGGGACAATGTTTTATTCCTCTCTGTGTCCCCTCTGCCTCCTAGCCCAGCGGTAGGTGCGCAACGTACACCTGCAGCAGAACCAATGCCCAACATTAGACCAAGGGGGAAACAGTGTGCCTATGTTCTTGCTACCACACACATTTTCTCGCATGCTTTAATACACCAAACTTTTTTTACAGAAGATAACGCATCTCTCTGTCCCTAATCGAAATCAACCACCACTGGGCAAAGTTCACACTCTAACTGCACACACACAGTCTCGCTCTGGAGATGTTAGTGCGCGTCTTGGCGGGGAGCCCGGCCACGCTGCAGGAGTCATGGTGCAGCTTCCGTGCTTACTTGTTGGAGGCCGTGGCGAGAGGGCAGGCGCAGGGCTGGCAGTCCCCGGGAGTCCCCTGGGAAGGCTCCCCGTAGAAGCCGGGCAAGCACCGCTCACAGTGGTCCCCGGTAGTGTTGTGCGCGCACGCCTAAGGCACATGCGTGAAAAGAAGAATAAGTTTGGGTTTCTTCACAGGATTTTCAGGTTCATCTACAAACAATTTGTAAGTCCAAGTGCAAAAAAAAAAAAGACGAAATGCTAAAACCAGTCACCAAACACTAAGTTATATTTTCAGATGAACTAATTTTTTTAAAAAATGTAATTTGTATAAATGAGAAACCTAAGAACTTTCACTTTGACCATGTTGGAGTAACAAGCACTAGCCTTGCCCACCTGTAGAAAACAACTAGAAACTGGAGCAAAACATATCGAACGACTGCTTTCAGAGACTGGACAGCAGCTGGTGCAGGGCTGCGGCGCCTGGGACAAGGGAAGTGATCGAGGTGAGACCCGCGATCGCATGTCTTTCTTCCCGGAGGCGCTTGCCAGGAGGTGGGGTGGGGGATCCCCAGTCAGCACGGTGGTTTTGCTGCGTGGAGGGCACAGAGCTCAGAGTTCGGGGAGGCTGGACCAGGTGGGATTGGGGGCAGAGTACTGGAGCTTCACAGAGTAAGAGCACCAGAAATCTGCACAGGGACCCCTTTGAATATAGCTACTGAATACTAAGCTTCTAAAGTATATAGTGAAACTCCAGGAGGCCAGACAAAGAAATACAGGTGAGCTGTAAGCTGAAAAACTCAGAACTCACACAGAGCTAAGGGACATTAGAATTCTCACCGGTGTGGGGAAACCCTGACAAATACTCAGCACTTTGTAGAGACCCTAGGAAACCCCTTAACAGTAGGGCTAACCCTGCTATAGAGTAGAGGCTGTACTAGACCCACCCTAACAGAGTTTACAAACAACCCTTGAAACAATCAAGCTGACCCGCAATAATTTAACTACCTGCCAAAACAAACTTCCACATTCTTTAAAGGAAAGCAACAAAATCCAGAAACTCGGCAATGCAACAATAGTCATTCAATAATCTTCATCATGCAATCAAACAGTACTCGATAACGCTCCCCCTGGGCACAT